GCGTGATACGAGCGGAGACAACAGCGACTCACCCGCAGCGTACATGACCGCCAGCATGATGGAGGAGATCCATGCGATCTGACTGTAGGAGGCGTCGAAGATGATCTGGATGTCTTTGAAGAAGACCGTGATGGCCTTGGGAAAGGCGTAGGAGAACCCTATGGAGATGAAAGAGCCCAGCACCACAGCCCAGCCCCAGCCGCCGTCTGGTGGTGGCACTGCAGATGGATTTGTGGCAGGGGGCGCCATGGCTTGCCCACCTTCAACACTGACCGTTCGCTGCACAAACAGATGAAAAACAGAAATGGCAGCAGGTTAGAATTACACTTGTTTTTATCAGGTAGTACATTTCGGATTGATCATCGAACCCTCAGATCTCGGCACATTCTCTGAAGTCTTTGAAGACGACTTTGAAGATAGGAATACATTAGCAATGCGCTTCGTTTGGAGAAATGTATGACAGAACATGACTGGCTATTCAGAGGAAAAAATACAGTTTACCAACTGCAGCCTGTATTGTATTGACAGTAGCAAAATACTATAAACTGAAATATTGGATTATTTCTGTTTTTCAATCTCCTCCTCCATCAGTTACTGATTTTTTTTTCCTCCCCAACTCCCAGTCCAATATTCCTGGTGTTGGTTCATGTTCTTTTTCTTTTCTTTTCTTTCTTCTCTAGTGATTCCAAATGTAGATCCCTCTGTTCCAGTGTTAGGAACTGATGTTCAGATGGAACAGAGTCTGAGACCAGGATCACACTGGGACTACAGCTACACTCATATATCGTCGTGACTATAGTATCGCAATATATCGTATCATTGCCTCTGTATCATGATACGTATCATATCGACAGATTCTTGCTAAATACCAGTCACCCGTCATTAGGTTTGTCCTTGACACGTCACTCACACACTACTGCCACCAGCAGTAATGTGAGCCAGAGGCAGTTACATCCTGGAGAGGGTTTGTGCAAACACACACACACCCACACACACACACACAGTGATCCAGTGTTCCATAGAACACTCGCTCTACCTGTGACACCAGAGCAGACCTGCCCAGTTCTCACACTGAACCCACTCCAAACATGAAGGAAGTCAGAGAGGAGAAAAGAGGTCAGAGGAAAACTGTGTGCACAAAACAAACAAAAAACAAACAGGTGTTTACAGTCACTCACCTTAAAGTATTGATACAACAGACCGTCATGTTGGTGCGACATGTGGGACATGTTTGGTAAGTATCAAAGTCAAAAAAATTCAATGTAAAAAATTTCAAAAATTACAAGTGAAAAACTCAAAATGGAAAAAAAAATCCAAGTCAAAAAAATTCAAAAAGTGAAAATATTCAGTCAAAATTTTCAAAATTAAAAACAGTAAAAAAAAAAAAAATCCTGACAGAAAAATGAAAACATTTATAAAGTAAACCAATTAAGAAGTCATTTGAATAATACCCTTCCTGCACGCTCGTTAGTGTGGTTAATTACGACACGCTGCTCTCACTCTGGCTCCTCGTTTCTTCAGAAAAGTGCGACTCCAACAGGAGTTCCTGGCAGAGAATTTCTTATTTACCAACAGCTGAAAGTGCTGCAGAAATTCTCTGACCTCATTAGCGTCGGCGCCGTCCAAGAGTCAGCAACATTAAACGACTGTGTAATTATAGTGTGAAGCCCAGTGAGATGACAACTGACGCTGTTGTTTAACATAAATGAGTGACCGGCAGCACCTGCACGCCCCCTACTGTTGACGCCCCCTACTGTACTGTTCACACCGCATCACCAGACGTGAGCAATTCATTAATTAACAAAAGGCAGACGAGGATGAAGAGCAGGAACACAGACCTGATCAGGTGACTTGAAGTGATATACATACACGTACAAGCATATATAAATATATGCACGAATGGATGAACGGATGGATGGATGTTCAAACTTCCTGGAGAAGCATCACCTGTGACCTTTCATACATTCTGATGAACAGATGGATGGATAGATGGATGTTCAAACTTCCTGGAGAACCATCACCTGTGACCTTTCATACATTTCTTCCTCCTCAAACACTTACCTAATTCGGTAAACGTTAATTCGATTTAAGTGGTTTTGGACCACAGCCCTGCTGTCATGGTGTCTGTTTCTATCTGCCGTCTGCTGTGAATTTTGTCCCGTGAATTTCATGGACAGAAGTCGTCATATTAACACAGCGAGTCTAATTTAGGAACAACAACAAGTGGAGAGAGACGGCGCTCATCGGTTATCAACATGAATAAATGATGTTAGCCTCCGGGACTCGACTCTTTAGCGTGATCAAGTTGCAGTGCTGTTTACGTCTGTTGTGTCCATCATGGACGTCCTCAGATCATGTTAAAAATATAATAGAAGAAGAAGAACGTACGTATATTTTTATTCGCTCTCAAATTGAAGTTAAGCTAATGTCTGTGTGCCATAAAAATAGTTTTGGGGGAAAAATGGCTGTACATGAAAGTGAAAGTCGCTAGATGGCAGCGTTGCAGCTCATTTTATTATAATCAGGGGATTGTCTGCAGAATGCTGGTGTCAGCAACTCATACAGTGGTCTGTACAGATAAACAAATAAATATTACCAAGCCTATATCGATATCGGTTGATATCGGATTTGGAAATTAAGTGTTTGGACAATATCAGAATATCGTATATGTGTGAATTGGAAAATAAGTGTTTGGATAATATCGGAATATCGTATATCTGCAAAAAGTAAATATCGGACATCACTAAAAATAACGTAAATATTCAGTTTTCAGTTAATATATTAACCCGCTAGCCATAGAGATTTCCTGTTATTCTGTTGATTCATTTTATTTTAATAACACATGTCGAGGAAGGCTAACTTAACTTCTTTAGCAGCAGCCTTTCAATCAAAGTTGCCGATTATTCTTCTCCAAATGGGAAAAGTATCGTTTTTTTTAATCCGTGTTAATCAGATTACAGGCTTATCAGAGATCACTCGGTGTGTATTTCATGTTGTGGACTGACTAAAAATGAACGACGCTCCAAACTGTCTTTGGAAGTCGTAAGCAGCTTTATCTACGTGCCGCTCCTCACTGACTGACCATGAAAATATCAGTAGCTCTGCGGAGGAGATGAGGAGTGAAGAAAAACAAAGTTTCCGTTCAGCTGCTTCGACGCTGACCTCAGCTGTGTCCTTCACTTGACTCCGCCGTCAAACAGACAGGCGGCCGTCACAGCTCACCAGTTTATAAAAACACTGGCTGAAGCCTGGGTTACCTGAGCTCCACGCTCATGTGACGGAAAATATTTACCCTCTGTGGGTTTTGCAGAAACCATGCGGAGCAACAGCATCGAAAGTGTCTAAAAACAATAATCATCTGTGGTGTTTTCCAGCCCTGGTCAGTCATACTGATATAGTTGTTTTAAATATATTATCCAAGAAGCCTCAAATTCAAAACAAATTCTCTTTATCTTTTTTTTTCAAAGCAAAACAATAGCAAAAAACATGTACGCTAGGTCAATGCCAACATTACTGGGATCAACAACAATGGCAAAAATTGTTAAATGCTAAAAGCAACAAAAGAAAAATCACCAGAAAAAAATGATAAAAGTAAAAATTTAAATACATATGTTTTCCATATACAATATGCTGTATCTTGAAATGTTTGAATAACTGCATCAACCCTTATGCAGATGACACACTGAAAAACATCGGTGCTGAATGGAGTCAGATAAGGTTGCGCTCTCTGGACAATCACGCCAAAACGACACCCTCCCAGTGGTGCTGTACACCTCTAACCACAGTGGGACAGTGGCATAGTAATTATGTTCCCAACATGAACTACAAAAGTTGAAAAATGTCACACGTGTCTGGCATCAAGTACTTGCTGTGTTCTTCAAATGCTCTGCATAACCAGTTCACCTTAAAGCACCTCGAGCGAACAGTCAAATCATTCAGAGAGAGAGAGGGGGGGGGGAGAGAGAGTGGGGGGGGGAGTTCACCACTGACCTGAACAACAGCAACTCCTTGTAAAAACTGCAGCTCAGGTTTAACTGACACAGAAACGATGGTGGCGCTGCAGTGCTGTTTGTCTGTGGTGAGTGAAGCGCAGTGTCTGAACTGAGGCTTTGGTCAAATCATTTAATCTTCCCACAGTGGTGTTAAATTACACAGGTGAACGTGATTCAAAAAAAAAAAAAAAAACCCAAACAACACAAATGTGGACGAGGGACAATTCACATACTTGTAATTTAGCTTCCACTACATCAGTGGTATTCAAAGTGAGGCGCTTGCCCCTATAGGGGTGCAGAATACTGAAGGAGCAGGTCAAAAAAAATATCTGGAATATACATTCCAGGTTTATTATTCATCATATAGACAACGTAAAATGTTGTAGGTGAATAATTGTCATTTAGTCAATCGGGATGGCTGTGGTTCAGTCTTGTAGCTGTAAGGTTGATGGTTTGATTCCAATTTCTAGGAACCCAATTGCCAAATCAGTTTGGTAGTGAATCGCAAAATTTTCATAGCTAGCTTGAAGTAGGCCTTCGCAAGATTGTATCGTGTGTGATTACTGATCAGAAGAAATATTTGCCACTTTACGATTACAACGACTGGTGCTGTGTTATTAGGGTTGCCAACCATACCTTAAAAAAAAAAAAAAAAATCCGAACTTAGAAAGAAAAACGTGCGTCTGCATGAGCTGAAAACTGATAAAAAAAAAAAAAAAAAAAATTCCGAACTTAGAAAGAAAAACGTACGTCTGCATGAGCTGAAAACTGACGCACTTTGTTTGTGTTCGTTCACATCATCAAAAGTAAAATCTCACAGAGAGGAGGATGTGGTCTTTACTGTTGTTTACACAAGATCACTCCTGGTGTTGGATGCTAACGTGTTGCCAGTAGGAGGCGCAGCTCTTTGATACCAGGTGCTGTTGTTGGAGCGCAGCAGACCTGTGTCCACAACAAACTTCCTCGATGAAGCATAAAAAGACCTGGTCCTGAAATCTGACCCACGTGGAGCGGTACACTCACTGGACCGTGACCACGGCCGGAGTCAGGACGTATTTAAAAAGCAAAAGGTTTGACTTTCAACGAAATACTGTACCACTCAGTTACACCTAAGGAGACTAAAGTACTGCAGTACTGAGCCTGTCATTAGAGCCTGATACTGCGGCTCAGAGGCTTAGAAACACCCTGTGTAATTATAGTTTAGATAACCTGTGGAATGTCACCGCGGGCTACAGAACAATGGCCACTTAGAGGTTAAATACCTCTGCAGGCTAACTGTTACTGTCTGACTACACACAACGCCAACTACAGGCCAATCTGACTGACTGAAGTCTGAACAGAACAAATGTTTTAGGGAAAATTCAAAGAATACTTTTTTTTTTTTTTTTCAAATCACACTGACAAACAGTGACCTCTGAAAGGTCACAGTGAGCTCCACCTTCAACCAACACTGGACGTTCAGTCCCAATAACTTTCTCCACATCAGTGACTTTCACGATTCCTTATAACAATGAAACATTTATACAAAGTTTTGTCCAAATAATCCGTTTATGGCAGGAGAGATTTTAACTTTCATCAACATCGGCTTCAGCTCCAAACCACGAACCTCAACAAACATCGCCAAATACGATGTGCAACGGCGGACAAAAAGATAAGACGTACACGGGGTGACCTAGGAGACCCATCCTCTGAGTTTCACATCAACCCAACAAACTGCAATCGCTGTCATTATTTGTACCGAGTACTTAATTGTTCTTGAAGTATTTCTTTTTTCTCAACGACATCCTGTTCACACCAACAGGATTGACAACTTTAAATGGCTCCAAAAAAAAATCCTCCAGACGTGTCTGTCATCAACACAAAGACAAAAATAAAAACCTCTCAGCCCAAGGACATGAACTAGACCACGGTCACTGCAGGCAAACGCCGCAGGTCGTACTTTGCTCCGGGGTATCAACGCTGTGCAAATTAAAATGTTTAAACAACCACTGGGCAGCGGTTGAAAAGCAGGAACCAGTTTATGGGTTTTCATCCTGGAGGTTTGTCAACAGATTACTGAAAATGTACACACGTAGAATACAATATAAATATTACCTCCTCGTGTAAATTTGGTCTTGAGAACATTTTTAAATAAATATTACCTCCTCGTGTAAATTTGATCTTGAGTACTAACGATGAGTAGTCGTCACACAGGAAGTCTTTCTGTTGGCTTGGTTTACACCATGCTACAATAATGAGAGACCAACAATAATGTCAAACAGCAACACTACTCTAGTAAGTTTGTACAATGTTCAACACAAATACTACACATCTACTTTATTGATCCCATTTTTTGACAAATTCTTAAATGTCGTAACAGGCGCCAAACATGTGGTTCAACTGGGAATCAAACCCTGGACAGAACTGACTGACTTAAGGAAGTAATTTACAGGTTGTTTTGTTTTTTGTTTTGTTTTTTCTTAGTCTCTGTGACGACCTGGCCACAGGTCCAGGACGTACGCTAACCCTCGGCCAATGACTGCTGGGAAAAACGGTAGCAAATGAATGAAAGTGAGATGAAGGACTAATGACAATGGAGACAGTAGCACAACCACTGGTGGTACCACATACCACAGCTTGAGAACCAGTGAGTTGTCACAGCATTTCACTGTCATCCCCCTCATTCAGGCCTCACAGCCTGGGGTGAAAACTCCGAGTGGTTGATGCAACTGAGTGAATCTTTAGCTGCAGCCTGGACTCAGTGATGCTGCTGATGTACGGATACAAACCGGATTAATCCAGTCCTGAAGCCCACGGCCTACACCAACATTTTTGTCAACACTTTCCCCTCCCATTACTATATATTTTTGTTACTATCATCTAGAAACTGACCTCGTGGCTGCGGGGGCGCACAGTCCCACCGTTCTCACTGGCACCTGAAGGCATCATAAAACTAACGAAAGCATCTTATTTTTCTGGGACTCGACCTAAAAACCCACGCGGGGATACAGCCTGTTGATGCATCTGTCAGTCACCGCAGCACATGTCTACATCCCGGGTAAACCCTTCCACCTCGGCTCCGGTAAATCCTCCGGTCATCGGCAGTTAGCGAGCAACGGCGGCGGGAAAAGAGCCCGTGAACGTGGCGTCGTTTACCTGTGAGGAGCTGATGGCTGAGCCGGACTCTTTTTCCAGGACTCACTGTGACCTTGGCGCCGAGAGATGCCCGTGTGTGAGCGCGTGGTGAAGAGATCCGTGTTCAAATTTCCTGAGTGGAGTGGACCAGCGACGGCGTGACGTATGTGAGGGGAGGAGGAGGAGATGGTGATGGACAGAGGAGGGGAGGGAGGGAGAGGGAGGCGCTGCTCGTGTTTCTATTTTTGACCGGCTTTAACGGATTGTCCCAGTCCCACTGTCACGCAGCCGATGTTAGCCGTGTGTGAGCTGCCGTGTGGAGGTTCCCGCTCGACATAACAAATAATCATTAATCATTAATAGTTACCCAGCAGCTGCTGATGGTCAACGTTTAAAGACATCAAAATGTCAAATTCAGGATATCTAAAGATAGAGTTCGTAGGAATTTTTACCAAAACAAAACAAACGACGAAGTTGGGTTTGTTAAGGCTGAAGGAGATCGGATTTAAAATGTCTCGGTATCGTAACAACGTCCTGAAACGATCGTATTTTACAAGTCATCCATCAGGAGGATGAAGTGAAAAGTCTCAAATACTTTAAAAAAAAAGATTTCTTTTACAAACTGATCGGAGTATTTTCATCGGTGTACTGGTGAGTCATCCATCAGGAGGATGAAGTGAAATGTCTCAATTACTTTCAGAAAAATAAAAAAATAGAATTTCTTTTTCAAACTGATCGGAGTATTTTCATCTGTGTACTGGTAGATACCAAGTAGTACTGGTTTTAGTATCTTCTCATTAACGGAAGGAAATTTAAAGTCAAAAGGAAACAAATAACTCTGTATGAAAAAAGTAAAAAAAAAACAACTTGTGAATAATTATAATCACACCGTTAGCGAGGCCTGACGAACAGAAAGTGAGCAGAGCTTTCACAACAATGTTGCATTTCAACAGAAAACACCGCGTCCTGATTTATTTTTTCAATAAATAACTCCACAAACCAGTCCAAGGCCGAGTCGCCCTGTCGTCACATCAGTACTGAATATATTTGACGTTAACATTTTCAGCTGACACAGTTACAAACCACAAATTCCAACCTTGAAGTTGGAATCTGAAGGAACAGCCGCGGTGCAGGGCAGAATGTGACCTTGTCCTGGGGCAGATGTGAACTTTTACTACTACAGTACGAACGACTTTTTACCTCTGGTGCTGTGGTACAGAGGTGTTAATGAAGTGAACATGTGAAGAATGTACGAGGCCCCTGAACGCCTCTCAGGGTTATGTGACTAAAACACTCCATACAGTAAAATACATATTTACTATATTTAATATTTGATGAGAGCAGCAGATGTAAAGTAGACTGAATATTTGTACCAGAGTTACCTCTACTGTACACTGACACTGACACTGACATCATGCTGAGGCTCCTTTCTCCCCCACACTCTCCTCCCTCTTCCTACATCACCCCATGAACACGTTATAGGTGGGCAGGACGTTACCTACCAGGCGACACCTCACCTCAGGAGCAGAGAGGAATGCCTCTTTGTGGAGTTCTGGCTCCTGATTGGAGGATGACACGTTGGCTCCTGCAGCTGTTTCTCCTGCAGTGTAATCTGAGATGGTGGTCAGAGTTAACGTACATATATATGTATATATATATATACACACACACCTATATATATGTATATATAGGTGTGTGCATATACATACACACCTATATATATAAATATATAGGTCTATATAGAGTATACACATACATATATACACATATATACTGTACATATATATCTATATATATTTTTATATATATATGGATGTAATATATGGATGGGTGGGTGAAATATATATCCCGCCATTTTATATATATATATATATATACATACATATATACATATATGTACACACACACATATATATAAATATATAAATACAGGGGCTTCAAGATATGAGTTTAATCTGTCTGCATTTTCCATTACATTAAAATAACTAAAAAACAACTAATTCGTTCCAACCCCCCGCCCCCAGAAACATAATATTAATTAAATAAAAATTTCCTACCCTTATATAAACATCAAAAACAAAACAAATACATTGATAATATTAAAATAATAATAATTAAGAGAACATTTTATATTATTGTTAAATGGGTACCTGAAGGCATCATTTGTTCGTAGTTCACTTCGTTTCATCTGAAATCCAAGACACAAAGTTGCAAGAGAACTGTTACAACAAAGTCATTTTATTGCATCATTTCAAAACTGCCCAAATGAACAGTTTGTCAGTTGTAGAGTTAAGACATTTGGGGTTTTGGGTTTTTTTTTTTTTTTTTTTTGTGTAGTTATTTTTGTAGTTTCCTCATTGTGATATCGTTATGACAAACTGTGTTTTCTAACAACTGAGTTTTCTCCAGGTTAAATGTTCAGTTGGTGAGGAGGGTTTAATGTCAGTACTCTGATGTCAGTACTCTGATGTCAGTACTCTGATGTTAGTACTCCATATGGTTGCACTTTTAGATTTTGCACAGTCAGCTGTGACATCATCGGTGTGTGAGACCAGGTTCAACACAACAACAACAACACACATGGATTACACAACGACATACAGAAATGTAATATTATTAAATATTTTCGCAGTACTGTGTCTCTGTGGGTGGAGCTTAAAGTACTGTACACCTACTGACTGGGATGAGAATACACAGTACACAGTGCATATGTTCTAGGTTTGTGTGTACATTTGCTATATTCCTGTTGTTCTTTACAGCTTTTTCTTTTTTGTGTGTGTTTTAGATCAGATTAGATTCAATGAACCAGGATTAGATTAGAGATTAGATTAGTTTAAATTGGATTAGATACAAGTTTAGTTTAGTTTTTCTATCATTGTTTTGGGGCTATTTAAATACCCAGCACTTCCAGGTGAATGTACTATATATCCCACCAGCAGAGGGCGTCATTATAAACTGCACCATAATAATGACACACTGGTACCAAAGGATTTTTTTTTTATTCCTGTTCTGATATAGAACAACGTCAGACAGACAGTTTTACTTGTTTCATCTTTTTTTGTTTGTATTTTTTTGTCTGAATATGTTTTTCTACTTTTCATCTTCAAAGATATCTTATCCAGAAGAGTCTCTTCCTCAAATTAAAAATATATTGAATATATTTTTACACAGGAATGAAATTGTAAAAGCAACCCCTAGAGTTTCTGCCAAGGTACTGCAGGGTTATGTTTACGTTATGTATGAAGTATTTGACCTGGTGTCACTGCTCCATTTCCATTGGTTGGTTAAAAACAGAGGCAGTGGAACAGTTGTACGATTCTGTGCTATACAGAGGGTTGTGGGTTTGAATCCACCAAGTTTCCAAATTTGTCTTTTACTTGACTGTGCAAATCACACAAATATAACAGATATGGTAAACAATTGGAAAACTAATTTGATCAAATCACATTCCCCCATTTACCACTAGATGGCGCCCAAGTACCACCAGAGGTATGCGTTCCATAGGTTTAGAACCACCGATCAAACAAATAAAAACCAATTCAAGGACAAATTTCGTTAGCCACATATACATATACATATATACACTTGACTGTTTTTTTTTATATTTAGAAATATATACATGTATTTATAAAGCATTTTATATAAATATATAAATATATGCTGTACACCAGGCACTACTCTCTGCTCTGCTGTTCTATAAACAAGCAGGAGACACAAACATCGATTCCCCATACACCGCCTTGACCCCTAGGGGTCACTGTATACCATAAATCCCCCTAGCACAATGGGAGAAGAGCAGCACATCCTCCCCGTCACCTCTCACCCCCATCACACCTCCTCTCTGCTGGGTGTTGTTTGTGTTTCTGATCCCGGGCCGTAACTCAGCCCGCGCCCCTCAGTGTGAGTGATGAGACCACCGAAGGAAGAGGCTCCGTCCACACCTTGATGTTTACCTTTCCTTGTCAGCTTGTTTCTACAAAGGCGGTATGGAGCCGGGCTGTTTGGGTCAGAGAGGGCCTGCAGCTGGAGGGAGGGCTGCATTCTCACCTCAACACCTCCCCCTGGGGTTAGAACAAACTTTATAAGGTATGTTAACATAGACAGGGTTCCCAACCACTGGGGCGGGGACCAGCACTGGGTCGTGCATCATCAATAAATAAATAAATATATATATATATAAAAAATATATTTATTTATTTATTTATTTATTTATTTATATATTTGTCAACTGGTTATGTTTAAATTTCAAATTTTCTTTGAAACCAAAAATTATTAAAAAGAAACATGAAACATAGCTAGATATTTATTTAAAAGAGGGAAATGAGGCCTAACCTGTGACACATGCAACCACATAATGTTGGATCTAATATATAATCTAGTCTAATCCGACCAATCTAATCCAATCTAGTGGTGAAATAACATATATAATACAGGTTGTTTTTTTTTTAAAGGGTTTAGTTTTTAACGTTAATCTGGATTCAGAATAAGAAATTAATTGAACCAGATTAGAGCTAAAACTACAATTTTTACTATATATATAAATATATATATATAAATGTAAACAAGCAGAGGAGGATATAAAGAAAATCAGAAACTAACAACAGTCAAGTGAACGTGGCAGACATTTGGAGGTGATAGTCAGAAAATGTCCAGCTTAAATTCAAAGTAAAGTAAAGTTGAAGAAAAAAAAACCTCCACGTCAACAGACAAAAGGCTCCCGCTGGGCCTGAATGCATCGTCAACCTCCGAGGGGGCGGGCAAGGATGGGGGGAGACAGCGGGAGGCATTGATTCATGAGAGTCCCTGCAGTGGTCAAGGTGCTCCGTCCCCTCCTGCTATTCTCACAGCACAAATACTCAGCTGATAAGAACCAACCCACGCTGACAGTCTCACCCATCTCGGTGAGGGGGGTGTGGGGGGGGCGGTTAGGGGGGTGTCCTGAAGTTGCACTTTCACGTTTCTTTGCAGGAGACAGGATTGGCAAAGTCAAACTCTAGATTCTGTAACAGTTATTGTATCTACCGTCAGAGAAACCCACAGATCGACAACACATTGTTCTCAACAGCAACTAAAAGTTCAAACTTTCAGTGAACTCAGCGCCACACCCAACACTTTCTTTAAATACATATATATTTACCAAATATATATATATATATGCATATACAAACATACGAAATATATATGTACTGTATGTATATATGTATATTTACTTATACACATATAGTTGTATATGTTTGTATGTATATGTATGTATATGTGTGTATTTACTTATACACATATATTTGTATATATGTATGTATATG